ATTTGTAAAATTTGTTCCTATTCAATTTCTCTGCAGAATATCTCGGCCAGGAAACATCTTTAAATGAACAACGGAAGCTATGAATGTTTCAGCAAAAAGTAACGGATTTTAACGTTAAGCATGCGGGTGTTTTAGCACTCTGCAGTGACAGCAAATATTTCTTTAACACAACATCAAAAAGTTAAAACATGTATTTACGATTAATAAAGGCGAAACACGAACAAAGAACTAATTATCGTTTTCACCATCAGTTTGAAATTTTCAGCATAGCATTTTTGTGTAATTTGACTTTGAAATAAAGCAAATCCATCGGTCAGTTTAATTGCTGAAACTTCGATCTCCAGCTGGCGAATATTTGAAGAAAGGCTGGCATATGGTTGTTTCGATTTTCATTGCTCACAACGTAACAGGAATTCTCCATGAAAAAATAACAATAAAACGTCGAAAACACCTTTTATCGGTTTTTCAAAACACGTTTTAAGTGACATTTTCTAAAAAGACCTTGATCGAAACACCCTTTACATGACTAGATTTGAAACCCCCAATCTTAAGCAGTGTGCAGCTTCTTGTTAATAAGTCACATTTGAAAAATGAAAATGGGCTTTTAGCCATTTTGGTCAAATTCCCTCCTTTCTACGACTTTTTTATTGAGTTTTTAACCTGGTTTGTCGATAAAGTGGGTAGGTGTCAATCATTTCGTGTTCAAGCTACGTGCAGCTTTATATTGATGAGACACGGCGGTCGTTGGTACTTTTAATATCCACCACTGCGACTCCATTAGCCGGTCCAACTAATGAAACTTCTCCACCTGGTGAATATTTTGGACAATATAACTGACGCACGCTTCATCAGTTCTATTCTATTGGTTATTGAGTAAAATTCAAGCAGTCTTAAAGGAAACCAGCAAATAAAAGAAACAAATTCATTACTTTTTTAAACACGTTCGGAGTTACATTTCAAGAAAGCTTTATTAAAACGCCTCTTACAAGTCTACATTTTAAATGCCCCTGGGCTTCAGATTTATCCAGTGTGTTGTTGTTAAGTCCAAACTTAATAACTACAATACAATACATGCTATTGAATCTCTCACTCGTTTTTCCGGCAATTCACTCATTGAACGAAATCGAAATAAAAATATCATTCAACGTACTTAATGGTAGACCAAATGGAAAAATGTATTTAAACCATCCCTGAGCGAAGTTAGCAGCCTTTATTTGAAAATTAGTGTAATTACACGTCAAAAATTAAAGAATTATAGCGCAAGTAGACGCTCCCTATCTAAGGAGATATTTTTTTTCTTTGATTGATTAGACAGAGAACCATCCCCAAGGAAGTACCGCTTTAAATTGTTGGACGGTCAGGGTGAAATAGACCGCCACTGCTAAAACGAAGAGTTCAACAAATTATGTTCATGCCATTTCCCTTGAATTAACGAAAGCTACGTTTGTAAACGTAGAATTTTATTTCTAATTTCCTTACAGCCTTGACTAGTTTAGTTTTGGCCGGATCAGATGATGGTGCAAATTTTCTTTCAAGTGATCGAAATTAATGGATACGGCTTTCATTTTAAAAGATCCTACTTGAACCAGATGTGATATGGAATCTTTTACAATTTGACTTTCAAATATAGTAAAAACATCAGCGACGATTATCAGTTTTGTAATATTTGTTCGTTATTAATCCTTTACCGCTGGAAGTTACCCTGACTGATGAAAAAGCATTTCAGTGTATTGACCGTAAAGTCAAAATATGTGCCACGATCATGAAAAGACAAAACGCGAACACAGTCCTATTTATCGTTTCCACCATCAATATAAACTTTTGAGCATGGAATTTTCTTTAGGAGAGATGTTATCATAAGATACAGATGATCTGCCTGGATATGTGTCAGTCACTGATTTCTTGTTCAAGCTGTGTGCGGCTTCCTAATGAGACGAAAAGATTAGTTGTTCCTTTCTTGTATCCATAGAATACTAAAAATATTGTGCGATGAGGAGGGAAGTTATTATAGTTTTGGCAAAGAACAGGAAAAACAGCTTGTGAAGTGTCAATCTTTGTATAAATTGATAAGGTTAACGTAAAGGTCTTGTGGCAAGACATTGTTCATGCATGTCACTTTTCAAGTTTGAACACTTTTACGAAGCGAAAAAATCCCCTAGACCATCACGAGAAAGAAGAAATATCAGAGGGTTGTCATTTCGTAGAGCACAACCGGTACTCCTTTCGAAAACTAGTCGGCTTTGCAGCTTTGCTCAGTAGCCGGTCAATGCATCGGTGTATTAGAAATAGAATTAGAAAACAGTTACCTGTAAACGTCTTGACGTAGGTTCATTTTTGACATTTTTCTGCCCCCCCCCCTCCCGACGTAAAGCAACTCTTTGCCGGTAGACCAGAAGAATTACAAATGCCACCTCGATTCCTTCGTCGGAATGTAAACTGTATTCAATTCTGACCGTTTTTTCCCACAGAGTTTTACATTATTTTGTACGATATAAATGTTCAATTTGGCTAACAACAACAGTATCCATGCTATGGCGGAAACTATTTTCTTGTATCGTGCGATATTCAATGCAGTCGGTGCAACGCAGGTTAGATCTGCTTGAACATTTTCCAATAATTTCGCGTTCAAGCTNCAGCACTGAAGGTACTGTTTTACCAACTGTTGTATGATGAGGGATTTATAGACGAGATACCACCCTGGTACTCACCCGACAAGCCGAAGCCCGTGTATGAGTCAGAGAATGTTAAAGCTTATTGGGATGTCCCTATATATGCTGATCAACAAGAGGTCAGATGCAATAGGGTGGATGCACGCATTGTAAATCATATGTGCAAGAGAGTTGTGACGCTGGAAATGAGCTGCCCGTGGGTTAACAATCGGACAAGAAAGGATGAAGAGAAGACACTGAAGTACGGACCCCTTCGCTGGGAACTAAGGCAGCAGTTCCCAGGCTACGAGGTGAAGCAATATCACATCATTATGGATGCCCTCGGGGGGTGGTCACGGGAGCTGGATGTCATGATGCGCGAGCTGGTGGGAGGCAGAAGCACAGACGTACTGCGAAAGATGCAGAGGGCAGTGCTCTCGGGCACGCTGAATATTGCCCGGACTTTTAAGGCGGTAGTTTGACTTCCTGTTAGAAGGAGGACCGTAGACACAAAGGAAAAGCTTTTTAGGATTAGTTCATGTACCATTTATTTTTTTACTCCATGGATTACAGGTTACGGTTTTCGCCCTGTGCTGCCTGATTAGAATGTAGCATTCAGTTGATTTCTCTGCGACATAATAAACTTTATTTACCCTGCAAAAAATGTGGCAGCAATTCCATAATCCCTATGCTTACATCGCAAGCAAATACCGAGCTTAATATTGCAACAAATAGTTTTTTGATAAACGAAACAGTACCCTTTTGAACTTTCTTTCCACAAACCTTAACAGTAAAATCTGGAACAGTGACTGTCTTACACTAACTCCTACTCGGACCATATTTTCTGTCTTTGAGGCTTATTTTAATTTCACATCATATTCCTCAAAACGTTCATTTACCAGTCCAACACCTGTTAGAACGATTCATACCCTAGTATGGAAATCAAACATCAATTTCTATTGACGACACATAAATTACGTTGGCTTATCCAATTCACGAATTGGCTCACAGAGCCTTTGATTTTGAATGGTAGGCACTGAACTCGGCAGAATTCTTCGCCTAGATCCTTCGAAGTGCACAGATCTCTCGAAACAGTCTTCCGAATAGTCTTCACAGGGGCACTTCAAAGAGAGGCATGTCGAAAGAGCGGTACCCTCCACCCTCCCCCCGGGAAAATAATCTATTCGCGCGATTTAGCAAAGCCAGATGCTTCCGTTTGGAAGTAAATAATGGAGGGTATGTGTTATTTTTCATTATCTCCTGCGTTACTTACTTCGCATGGTTACAAATTCTGAACTTCCTTTTTACTGGGAAATTTTGCAAATTATGAAAGTCAGAAGTACATCATCACTAGTTGAGAGACCTCGGTAAGAGAATTTGCTTTGCTGTTTGAATATTACATGTAATCGCATCCAGTCGAGTTTAACTCGCCTCATTTGTATAAATTGTGGCCGATAACATTTTCCACCTCAGTTTGTTTTAGTAAACAATACCTAGTCAACTGACATATTTCCTCAGTCTTTTCAAGCTGTAAGTGGGGACCATACTGAATGAAACAATGATAGAGCTGGTTAAGGGTAGTATAGCCCTACGCATTTGGAAGCTTTATCCCGATTTCGCGACGAATTTAAGAGTGTTTCTTGTGGCTTGCTCTACAAACCATGGCGATAGAAAGAAACAAGCAAAACTTCTGAAGCGAAGAAAGAGAAACATCTCTACGCTAACCAGGGAAATGATCAAAAACTGAACCAAATCAACGAACTAGTTAAGGAGTAAGAATCGTCGTCATGTGTGTAAACAAAACCTTCATTCGACTTCATAATGAGGAAGATAATCCAAAGATAGCTGGCGTATCATTGAAAACGTTCTAGTTTACATTAGCTTGAACTCAATATAATTGCCCGTTTAATGTGATTTCTTAGGCCAAAAAGAACCCGCGATAAATTTTTTGGGAGAGAAAGCGCTTCCAGTAATTTAATACATGTAATACGCTCGTGCGTCGTATCATCTAGAGCATAAAACTTTGATGAATGGGATATTTACAAGATAAACTAGAAACAAGTAGGTCCTGAATTGGTGGAGTACTTTTTGACCGTTGAATTGACAGTAAGTAAACCAGAGTATTATCAGTAAACTGTTCGCATGTCTGATAACTACAGCTTCCGAAGAAAGAAACTCGACACTGAGCGTACAGATCCTACGTTAGCTCTAAATTTGTGACCTCTAGAGCTTTGTTATATGATTTTATTTTATTGATGCGGGTTCTTAACTGATTAAATCGGCCGGTTCGGGTAATCTACTTTCATCACCATCATCATTATCATTTTTTTTACTCTTTTAACAATACAAAAAGGAGTAAACAACCGAAAATTATGGTGAACAAAATGAGACAAACCACAGGCGTCCCAAGATCACGTCTTGTGGAGAAATGAGCGGTTTTAAGTTACGCGAGGAATCGTTGAGAATTTGAATGCGTGACAAAGAATAGTATTTTACACTGATAATAGGAAAAACAGTGATGGCAAAGCAAACCCAAAGCGGTGGAAATCGCCAAAAAACACACCGGAAACACAAGAAGCGAGTCAGTTTTATCAATCTTAAGAGTAAAATGTTTATATTTCGGAATATATAGTGTTGTAAATGGACCATATTTCGTTGCCCATACTATATTCTTTATAACGCACTCAAATTCTCAACACCGCGTCACTCAACCCGTGACGCTTTCAAGAAATAATCTTTCGTCTTACCTCGAGCCGTGAGCTTGAGACGCCTGTGGACAACCAAAACAATAACGGTATTGGACACAAGAGTTAAGCTCATGGCTACTTGCTTGTTGTTAATTGTCTTTCCATCGAGGTTCTTCTCATGATCAGGGAGATTGCTGGATTTTTGAACATCTGAGGTACCGTAGTTTCTCGGTTGAAGGTGCAAGGATTTTTCGAGAAAATTCTGTCTTCGGGTGGAAAGTTAGTACTGAAATTGGGGTGCGTCTTATAGCCAAGTATTTTTGCACAAGTAAATCTTAAGATTACAACATTAGCAGAACTTATGGTTTAAAAGACAAGAAGAGGACACTAATTATTGGTCATTGACTTTTTTAGATCTGGTGGCTCTGAAAGGAGCACCGTTACTTATGTGGCCTAATGAACACGAAACGAATTCCACACGAGCAGAACTTTTCGGCCTAAGGTGTAGCGAAGATTATGCCGTCTGGGATTGAATCAAATTGAAGTCTTATCCACATTTTTTCGATCTTTTGTTTATTTGAAAATGATGTTTATTTTTATGGCAAGATTTATACTTCATCATTACCTTCCTAAAACTGTCCATGTTTACAATCCTGGATCCAACAATGATTTCTTTTCCTTTTCATCTTCCAGTGAGTTGTTTAGGAAAGTTCTCGGTCGTTTCATTTTATTAGGAATCAAACTCATTGAGAAACAAATCGCAACACTCAGAGGTGTTCACTTTTGCGGAACAAAGTAAGACCTACTGGGCGCACTCGTCGCGACTTTGCTGGTGTGGTGTCGACTTCGCCATCCTCCTTAAGCTCTTTAATAGATTTTTAGCGACCAGTTTCAGCAAGAATCCTGCCATCCAAACATTTTCCTACCTGCTTTCAAGAAGTAAACTTTCCATTTTTGTTTCTCAAACAACCACTTCCACTGGAAACAGTAGAGGTACCCGGCAATTTTGAAACGCTCGCTCGCCATGTTTGTTTACAACACGCCTGCTGATCTGATCGCGCGCGCCATCGCGAATTTCTCTCGCGAGTAATTTGCTTGCGTGTATCTTGGAATCCATTCTCCGCACGGTCAAAAAACCCTTTCTAGCCTCATTAGTTATGTGCTTTGCTGGGTTGTGTGAGGTTTTGCTGTTAAAAATGTAAATTTGTTCATACGAGAAGCCTTGATTCAAGTTGATAGGTTACAAAACATTTGTCAGTCACAAAGTGACATGACTACAGCGGCATCTCAAAAGTCAGCATTTACAAATGAGGAAGAGCCAGGGAGGCAACTTCAATATCAAGACTCACACAGCAATCAAGGTAACATAGAATTAACTCATTCTCAAACTCGATTCCTAGAAATGCGTAAGTCTGTGTAATCAATGTCTGAGATCCATGTTAATTACCTAACGTTTGAGAAAACCCTTTTTTCATTTCGTGAAACTATTTTGAATTAAATAATACTCCCAGTGATATCCTCCGCCGCCCTTGTTTGGTCTCGTCACGCAACGTGCCTGTGCCTGTACCTTTCTCTTTCTTTCATCCTTATCCCTGTCTCCCCCTATTCCTGTCCCTATTCCTTTCCTGTCCTTGTCTTGGTCCCTGTCCCTGTCTCCTTCCCTCTCTCTTCCCTCTCTCTC